GAACTGCCTGCACGTTCCTATGCCATGCGGGACTTAGGACTTGGGTTTTGGTGTTGGACAGCCCTGAGCTTGTCTTCTGATCCTACCGCTTTCTAGCTGTTGACCTTACACAAGTTACTGTACTTCTCGGAGCCCCAGTCTCCTCATCTGTAAAATGGAGTAAATTAAATAAGATAATGTGATAATTAAATAATATATAATACTACCTATAATATATGTTATACCATAGTAATACATAAATGACAGAATACAAGGAGAGTGCCTGGCACCCAGTAAACTCAATAAATGTGAACTGTTATTAGCAGTCATCCGCCTTCCTGTGACAGGCTCGCGGGGCCAGGGCCCTGCAGATAGACTGTCCCCTGAGAGTTGAGGATGCCCTCGGAAGCCAGCGAGGAGAAACCGAGTGTGGGTCGTAGAGAAGTGGGGCAAAAACCTGAGGGGGTTGGTTGAGTGTTGAACTGAAGGGCTGGGCTTTCCGCGCAGGTGGAGGTGACGGGACCACTCCTGTAACCTTGAAGTCGTCCACGCGAGAACCTGATGGTTAGAGGGCTGGTGGCTTCATGTGAGGCTGAGTGTTTTTAGTGATTGGAAAAGGGCCATTGAGATAGCTCTGTCACTGACCGGGTCCGGAGCATCGTCGCTGGAAAGTGGGAGACCAGGGTGCCCTTCCTGCTGTCCCCCTGTCTCCACAGGGTAGGAGGTGAGGGAAAGCGTTTACTCATTGTCCGGAGTGAAAGCTTCATTCTGCAAAATGGCCAAAGCAATCAGCAAGTGATGGAGTAGCTCTTAAAAAGAAACCTGGCATTTAATTAACTTTTCAAAGTGCTGGTTCAGCAACCTCTGTATTTTACATTTTGAATATTGAACAATCCGATCTGAATTGCTCTGGACCTGCCAGGGTGGGGAGCACCTGCCTAGCTTTTATGAACACCGTGGAGTCTCGTGTGAATTTCGGAATAGACAACTCAGGATCACTCAGGACGGGGCTTCAGCCTGTGAAGCCTTGTCCTTGCTCCCCTCAACCTGGAGGTCAAGTCAGAGTTCATGAACTTTTGTTAGGAGAAAGCAGGCAACTCGGAAGGATAAGGCAGAAGGTTCCATTTTGCCGCTTAGCGAACTGGAGAGTTCAGCCTACCATCTGTAATATGGGGTAGGGCAGTGATTCTCATGTACATGACTGGGTGCCATTTCTAGAAATTAGACCCCAGGGGGCTGGGGTGAGGCCCAGCACATGGTCAGCGACCAAGCTACCCAGGTGTGACTCTCTTGTGTACCACTGATGAAGAACTCCTGGTTCCAAGGATTCTCTCCAGCTTTCAGTTCTCTGTTTGCACCATCTATTGCCTTCCATACGTGTGGAGTCAGGAATGGACTGTCTGTATGGTAAATCCAAACAGCTGCCTCGGTGCCCAGGGACATCTGGAAATCAGCTGCGTGTGCTTTTGAAAAGGCTCAGGGCCATGCGTTTGGGATCTGGGGTGGAGGTGGGGTGATAGGGATTCTTGTCTCAGCCTTGTTGTGAACTAGCTCCGTAGCGCAGGTGAAGCACACGGAGCAGTGCCCGATGTCTCTGACGGTGCTGCCGAAACCAGCTTTACTCCAGCACGCAGCCGAGCCAGCGTTCCTAGCCTCCACAGTCTTTGAAGAGTAGCGAAAAGTGCTTCTGTCTGCGTCAGATGGTCTCACAGTGCAGTTATAATGTTCCCAGACCCTCTCACAGCCACTTCTGGGGAAAGAGGCATGTCACCTGCCACGGGGCTGGACCAGGTCACACAGCTTCCTCAGAAGTGCATCTGTAAGGGGTGAGATGACCCAGAAACACAGTCCTCTGCCTCGGCCTCCAGCCCACAGCCTGTGGGAGGCAGGGCTACAGCCCCGGGTCCGCGGGTTGCCTACCCGGGTGGGCTGTGGCAGACCAGCTGCGTTTTCATTTTTTGAAACCTGTCACCAACCATTTAAAAATACATTCTACATCATGACTGGGTGTGTGTGTATATAAAACTGGAAAAAAAAGTTTATGTAATGCTTATCTTTACTATGTGCAGTTCACTTTCTTTTATACTCTCTGCCATTAAAAAAAAAAAAAAAAGGCTGGTGGTGATTTACTAAATTGATTTCATGAGTCACTAATGGGCCGTGACCTATAATTTGAAATTATTGTGCTAGATTCTGTGTCCTAGCCCTGGGCTCCGTGTTATTGTGTGACCTAAGGTGCCTTTGGGGACCAGGTAGGTAAAGTAAATCTGTGAAGTGTGGATTTATTTCAGAATAGCACTTAAGTTCTATTACTGAGATCCATATACAAATTATGTTCATATTCATGCTTCTGTAAAGAAATATACTCTCTGCCAATTCTCCTAAAATATGCTTCCCACTGAGTCTTCCTTTGCTTTCTCATGTTTAATAGCTGCATAGGTACAGGAAACACTTCACTTGGCTCTTCACTTCCATAAGAAAACCAGCAGTGCAGACTGCACGGTGAAGAACTGGCCCTGGGCCCATGTTAGGGAGGGCCTGGAGCTCAGGCTCATCTAGGGTGGCAGCCACAGCTCGGCTTCCCTGAGTTTTCTACGTGGGGCTATAAGTCAGGGTTGGTAGGCTTTGTATTTGAAGAATTTAGCAATTTGGATTTTTGTAGAAAATGTCCTGGTTTGGACAACAAATTCATGTTAAAACAAAACAAAATCAAAATAAACAGCAGTGTGGTCCAGACCAAACTTAGCTGCAAGCCAGATGAGACCTGGAAGTGGCCAACTTCATCAAGCACAGGGCGTTCTGCGCTGTTTTCCCATCTCCCCAGCAGAGCAGAAGGCTCCCAGAGAACCTGGAGTAGCTCTGGCTGAGAGAGGGAGAGAGAACACTAGAGGGAGAGAGAGGGAGGGAGAGAACACAAGAGAACGCCACCTGAGGGCATCCCCACCGACCGCCAGCCATCCTTGAGGGCCTGTTTGGATTTTGCTCCGTCCCTTGCGGTGACATGAGATGCCGGAGGATCCTGGCTCCCCCTAGAGTGAGAGAGAGCAGACTGTGGGCTCAGCAGCAATTAAGGCAAATATAAAATCCATCCCCTTTTTGGATGCTGAATGGATAAATGGCAATTAGTCAGCCTTCCCCTGAAGGTTAGCGTTATCATTATTGTCTCCTTCAGACAAAATCACCGCTACTTTTGCCACAGCGCATTGCTTAGGAAGGACCGATTCTGTCACAACTCCTGAGGGTAACCAGAGATGGATGTGTCTCCTATGCACAAACAACGGCGCTGGCCTAAGCCGCCTCCCCTCTTTCATCCCCTTATTCTCTGGCGCTGGTTTTCATTCAACTCCTTTCATCGTTGGTGACATGTCAGTCACTGGGTAAACAACATGTGGACAGTGGGTTTGTGGAGTTCAACCTCACCTTGTCAGCTGCAGGTGGTGAGCTGGGAGCAGAGCCCCCTCTCCCCTCCCAGGGACAGAGACAGCTCTCGTGGCCGCGTGGGCCCTGCGTTGGAAACCTCCGTCATCCAGCAGCACCATGTGGCGCTGCTCTGGACGTCCCTTGGCAGTTGCTCGGGGCCTTTAATGCCCTTTCTGTGTCACTCGCCCTCCTACCCTTAGTTGCTCAGTCTCCTTACTTGGCCCTTTGAGAGCCCCAAACCGCAGCCTGGGCGACCTCCTCAGAGCTGCTCCATCCTGTTCTTCCAGCTTGACCCAGCCTCTTCTCCCTCCATGACTTCAGCCAAAATTCATTTCCTTCCTGCCTGCCTGCCTGCCTTCCTGCCTTCCTTCCTGCCTGCCTTCCTTCCTGCCTGCCTTCCTGCCTGCATTCCTGCCTGCCTGCCTGCCTGCCTGCCTTCCTGCCTGCCTGCCTTCCTACCTAGTGCAGTTGGGGTGGCCTAACACTCACAGACAGTAGTCTGTTTAAACTTGGGCTTAGTTGATGCTTACACACTTGAGGGGAATGATCCGCATTTTGCAGGACTTGCTGTCTGGTTCCAGCGTAGCTGTAACCGGCGAAGCTCTGTGGGCCAGCACTGGGGAGGGCCCTCTCGTGCGTCCCGCCTCCCGGCCATTAGGACATTACCACCACCCTTTGCTGCTGCTCATCATGGCAATGGATTTCTAACTTAAAAGAAGTCATAAAAAATAAAAGCTCTGTTGTTGTGCAGATGTTCAGACATGTAGAAAAGTAATCACCATGTACCCATCACCGTTAACAATCGTCAGTGTTTGCCGGTCTCATTCAGGAGACTTATGATCCGTGTTTCATAGAGGGTCAGTAGCCTTCTACTTGGCTTGGGTTAGAATTATTGGAAGTTCGTTGAAGATGCATATTCCTGGCTGCACACCCCCAGGTGAGCTGCTGCAGCCTCCTCCGCTCCAGGCCCAGCCCTCTGCACGTCGGTTCAGCTTCCCAGGTGGTTCTCGTGCACATTCGAGTTTGAGAACCAGTGCCTTAGACAACTGTCCATGCATAAACAGGCTTCTAGTTCCCATGGAATATCTTAAGGGCACTACTTGCCCACGTTGCTCACGGGGGCTTCTGGTCCGTCGTGGGGAGGGTACAGAAACACAGGCCCTGAACCTGCAGCCTGGACTGCGTGGCCAGTTCCTCCCTTTTTGCTTGTGGGAAGCTGCACATGTTAACACAACAGCTCTACCTGGAACCCAAGGCCTCAGTCCTAAAAAAGTGTGCTGTAAATTGGTCTGCTAATTGTTGAAAGAAAGGAGGGCACTGTATCATCTATATTCATTTGACTTTTGAGCTCACTCAGTCTGCATTTAAACTCAATCATTTAATTTGGAGTCATGATGAAATAAGGTTGTAAGAAGTCCTTATTGCAGTGTCTGTAATTCTCTCATGCTGATTACGGGCCTTGATCTATAAAGAGGAATCCAGGCATGTAAAACGCTTGGGATATGCTGATTTGCCCCAACTTTTGAAACCCCTTCTCTGACATACCATGCCAGAGCACAAGACTAGGGGGTTCTCATAAACTTTCTCTTTCTTTTTTTCAGGTCCGGAAGGAGGGCTTCTGAAGAAGTGGAAGAGTAGGTTTCCAGTATTCTCATGGCGCCCTGTGGTGGTCTTGGTCAGCGGTGCGGCCTTTGTTGAACAGCATTAAAAAAATAGACAGTATGAATCCGGCCATGGCCTGGGGCTGGAGTCCTGCTTACCGAGGCAAGGGTTTGGCTAATGCTGCTGCTTCAGCTGAGAGCCTGGGCTCTGGCATCGATAGCCACCCTGTGGCTTTTAGAACTGCATGTCCAGGTGTCGGAGTACTGACCCATGGATTCTGCTTTATTGGTATAAATAGACAAAGTGGTGCCAGCTCTCTAAACTTAGGCTTCTCCTAAGACTTATGGTAAAAAGAAAAAAAACAGAAAAAGAACGTTTCTAGGTAAAGATGGAGTATCAAGCCAGGGCCATCGCATTTTGTACCTCCAGAGGTGAGAGAGGCATTCGTATCATGATCTGTGCGGGGCTGCTACTGTGTGGGATGCTCCCCTGCACAGCGTGGGCAACTGTACTAGGCAGGCCCAGTGGCCCAGTTAGGTTTGAGCAAGTTGATGGGGGAGAGTGGATTCAGAGACACTTTCATCTGGGGGGAAGAAGGGATACAATAAAAATTTGGGTTGTTTCTGTGTTTGAAACTCATGTTCTACTTTCCTTCTTTTTTGGGGGGCAGTCACCGCCTCAGACAGAAGAGCCTGGATGGATCAGATGATGGAGGAGGTAAGATGTCTCAGAGGAAGTGGAAAGGGCTTCCAGAGATGTCCCCGAGCCCCCCTAGTGCTTCCTGGGCCGCAGCCGAGGCACCGATGCTGCAGCCTCACTGAAAACGTGTGCGGCGGCCTCACCCATGCCTCGGAAGGGCTGCTGCCTCTGCCTGGAGCCGCTCACCCGCTTCTTTAGCTCCTAACGCTCCTTGTCCTTCAAAACTCAGCCGGAGCATCTGAAATGTCTTCCCATCCCATACACTCCCTCTCTGACCCAGGTGTCCTTTCTGCTCCTACAACCTCCTGGGCAACAGTGTAACAACAGCAGGAATAATAGCTAACATTTATTAGGTGTTTATTATATATCAGGCACTGCTCTACCAGATTATAGATGTTACTGCATTTTATCTCCACAACAATCCTATGAGATAGTACTGTTGTTATCCCTGTTTTATAGTTGTGGAAAGTAAAGTGCAGAGAGGTTAAGTAGGCTGCGCATAGTCACAAAGCTAAGCGAATCACCCTTGACTTCTTTGTTGACCTGATTCTCCTTCCCACAAGGCTCCGCGCTCCTTGATGGCAGGCACCGTGTCTTACTTGCCTTTGCATCTTCAGAGCACAACACGTGGTAGTCAGTTAATGGCTGGCATTGCCAACAAAGGAGAAACAGCACTAAAATAGGCCAGTAGCCGTGGCACAGCTGAAGCCTGTGTTCAAAACTCAAGGGAAAAGATAAAGTTTGTGTGTACTTTTTACAAGAAGCCTGTTAGAGAGATTATATTTGGGACCTAAATTATCAAAGCCCTTTTTACAAACCTACATATTAACCATTTCCATTCTCTATTCCTTTGTGTAGAATTCATTTTCCATCTAGTATCATCTTCCTCCTGCCTGAAAAACTTCATGTAACATTTTTTTGTAGAGCAGGTCCTCTGGCAAAATTCTCTCAGCCTTGTTTGTCTGAAGATGTCTTCACCTTTCACCAGATAAAGAATTCTAGGATCACAACTTTTCCTTTTAGCACTTTAAATAGTTATTTGCCTTCTGCTTGCATTGTTTCTGATGAGAAGTCAGTGGTTATTCTAATCTTTGGTCCCCTGTATGCAGTGTCTTTTTCTTGCTGGCTGCTTTTAAGATTTTTTTCCTTTAATCTATTATTTTCAGCAATTTGGTTACGATGTGCCTTGGTGTGGCTTACTTTGTGTTTATCCGACTTCAACTTCTTGAGTCTGTGGATTTACTGTTTTCATCAGAGTCAGAGCATTTTAGCCATTATTTCTTTGAGTATATTTTTCTCTCCTCTAAATCCTCCTGAGATCCAGTTACAGGTATGTGGGTTATATCATTTGAAATTGCCACACAGATCATTGAGGCTCTGTTTTGGGATTTTTTCCCTAGTCCATTTTAAACTGCTTCATTTTGGGTAGTTTCTGTTGCTGTGTAACTGATTTTTTCCTACTAATCTGCTGTTAAACTGATCCAGTGAATCTGTTCTTTCAGATATTGTGTTTTTCAGCTCTAGAAGTTCCACTTAGTTCTATATATAGACAGACATTTCTATCTTCCATTTATCTCCATACTTTATTTGTATTTTTATTTTTCCTTAATAATAGCAACCTTTATAAGTAGCTGTTTTAAAGTCATTTTCTGCTAATTTTATCATCTGTCTTTTCTGAGTCTGTTTCCATTCGCCGATTTTTCTTTTGGTTATAAGTCATATTTTTTCTTCTTGATCAGTAGCTTTTTGATTAGATATTGGCCATTGTGAATGTTACTAGTTTGAGTGTCTGGATCTGTTGCTTACTTTAGAGACTGATATATTTGTTTCGGTAGGCAGTTAGTGTATTTGTTGATCAACTTGATCATTTTGAAAATTGTTTTTAAACTTCATTAACGCAAGTCTGGAGTTAGCCCTAAATGGTAAGACACTGAGGTGACTCTACTGAGTGCCTGGTTGTTCAAGGACTGTCCGCTGGCCTGGGTGGAGCTGATCCTCTCCTGGTTCTGCGTGAGCTCTGGGAACGGTTCAGTGCCTACCTTGCTGATAGTAATTCTTTGCCCAGCCTTGTGGAATTTGACCCTATATGCGCACAACTTAGTATGCACTCCATCTAGATTTCTGGAGTTCTTTCCCTACATAGTTCCCCTTCTCTCATATCCTCCTTCTCAAATTCCAGCTACCTCTGCCCCCTAAACTTTGACCTCTGTCTCCAACTCAGCAAGACTGCCATGCTCCGGCTGGGGCTCCCCTTCCTGTGCCAGTGTCCAGGAGGTGCCTCTAGACAGAAAGCAGGCCTCCCTTCATTTGGCTCCCTTCCCTCAGGGTTGACAGCCCTGTGCTGCCTTGTCCACTGTCTGAAAGTAGCTGTGTCCTACATTTTTTCCAGTCTTCTAATTGTTCACGGTAGGAAGGCAAGTCTGGTACCAGTTACCCTCTCACGGCTGGAAGTAGAGCCCCACCACCTTCTACTGACTAACCTTTGCATGTGAGTACAAAGTGGAGGAGAGAATTAAGTCAGTAAGACCTGGACGATTACCGGTGCTCTAGAGCCACCTCTGAAGGATTGGGGTGGGGGTCAGATAGGAGATTTGTGAAATATCCTGAGGGGGGTTAAAATGCAGACTCCCAGGCCACTCATAAAGCAGAAGCTGGGTTGGGGCCCAGGAGTGTGCATTTATTTCAGTAAGCTCCTCGATGACTGTTCTGCAGAGAAAAGTTTGACAACCGTGGTGTCGTGCCTCTGAAGCCAGCCCTCAGGACTGGAGAGGAGGGAGTTGTTTCAGACGTTCTGCCTCCTCTATTAGAAGGGCTTTTAAGGTGGACGCTGGAGGTCAGGAATTTAGTCCGCGCTCAGATTTGGTGGGAGCCGGTCAGCGTGCTCTCGTCATTCTTCAGCACTTCCTTTGCATTGCCATGATCTCTCACTGACGAGCTCGTTTCTTTTTGCCAGAAATTCCTTCTTAGCTCTACTCACTAAACTCCTTGTAGCTTCCAAAATTCTCCACCCACTGATAATTCCCAGTGACCCTATTCTGCATTTTTGTTCCCAAAGTCTCTTCTTCTAGACCTGTACCTAGGATGTCCTCTGCCAGTATTAAACTGGTCGCTGCGGTGGCTCTGTGACCGGTGGCTGCTGGCCACACTTTGGGTCTGTTTGGCCTCACAAATTGTCTGTTGCTTCAGCCATTGGTTGCGCAGGGCATCAGGGTCGCCATCCAGGAGGAGGGGCCCAGAGGTGTTTGCCAGGCGGCGGCTACTACGCCTACTGTGTTACATTGTGTTTTTTCGTGTAATTCTCAAAACGATTCTATGGGAAGGGGTTTTAAAATTGACTTCATTGAGGTCTAATTCACATACAATCAAGTGCCTTCATTTAAAGCGCACCGTTTGAATGCTGACAAGTGTGTATGTCCCGTGAAACCAGCTCCGCAGTCAGGATACAGAACAGTTCCGTCACCCCCACGAGTTCGTCGTGCCACTCTCCAGCCCACGCTTCCTCTGGCCCCATCCTCAGGCTGCCAGTCTGTTTTTTGTCATGATAGAGTGGCTTGCATTTTCTGGAATTTTATATACACTAAATCATATGTATGTGTGCTGTTGCATCTAGCTTGGTTCGCTCATTGTAACGATGGTGAGATTCATCCAGGTTGTTGCAGGTATCATTGGCCTGATCATTTTTATTGATAATAGTGAATTGGATGGGCGTACCACAGTTTGGTTATCTACGTACAGGTTAAAGGACATCTTGATTATTCTTTATCCTTCATAGTAAAGATGAGCAGATTGAATGAAGAAGAGGTAGCCTGGGCCAAGGTCACACAACTTGTAAATGACAGCACCAGGATCTGGAGGGCTGCTGTGCTCCCCACTGCACCACCAGCGCTGCACAGCCAGGCGAGGCCTTGAGGGCAGACCTTGACCCCGGAGTCCTCGCTCTCAGCCCCTGGGCCGTAACCAGTGGGACAGCCCCCAGACACGTTGCCCCCCGCCCCGTAGCCATGTGATGTTAGCTCCCAGGTCTGTGATTTAGAGCGCCCGGCGTGATGGACAGGATGCTTAATACAATTTCGTTAAGAAAAAGAAAGAGACCTATTTTCAGAGAATACCTCTAGTATTTTTTTTCCCATCATAAACTTAGAACATGAAATTTGTGATTTGGCCTTTATTTCGGCTCTGGAGGTTTTAAGCATAAAACCCTTCTTGGTTTTACCTTCTCAGAGGGATGTCTCTTCCAGGCATAAATCTGTTGTCCATACAGTTATGCCCGAGTCCTTCAATGGAAAATCAGTTCATATGTTACACTTCACACTTGACTTAGTCCATTTCACTGTATGTGAATGTTTAGAATCCATTATGCGGTAGGAATCATATGTTACATATAACTAGTTTCTACAATTATCTTTGCTCAGAGAATTACTTGGTCGACTAGTAAAGACTGCGCCTTTGAACTCAGAATAACCAGTGAGTGGGGAGACTCCATGAGTGAGTGCCCCGAATCATCCCTGGATGCTCATTCAGCAGTGACATTAAACAGATCTTTGGGCACCTGCAAGGGAGCTCACTGGTCCCCTTAATAAAATCACATGCAGGTCCTTTGAGGTTGTCCGTGCTAGGAACATTGTCAGCGGGAAGGGGCTGTTGTTTTCCTTGTACTTGGTGGGAGCAGGTGATTGGCGAGCACTCTCAAAAAAGATGATGAATCTTGGGGGATAAGAATGATGGTCTCAAGTTCAGCACCCCCCACCCCGCCCCCAGGTAGCCGGTCTCCTTCCACCGTCAGCCCTGGGGGGGGGCAGCCGGCAGGTTTTCCTGCAGCACCCGCTGTGGCCAGTGTGGCTGCAGGTGCCGGAGGTGGTGAGCGAGAGAGCCCTGTGTTCCAGCTCTGCTCTGGTGAGATGCCCGCCCGTCCTTCCCTCCCCTTCCTTTATGGGAGACTTTCAGGAGCTGCGTCTCTCGATCCGTTTCTCAGCACTCAGCCCCACTAGCTTCACTCTGGGTGCATGGAGCTCCTTCCT